TATATATATATATATATATATATATAATGCACACACTCCGTCTACTTAATAGTATTCAAATTTCAAGAGTTTATTAAATAAAGATAATTCAATAAACTAAATATTGTATTTTTGTAATGAAAATACATCAAACCCTCTTAAACTTGACATGAAACTTACCTTAGTACTTAAACTATATAGGTGTTTGTATGTCCCTTAGCATGTTTGATGTGAATTATTTTCAACTCCTCAACACTAGCCTCATGCGTGTGTTGATACAGCTTGGAACAACGCGTAATTCATCTTTTAACATTTTTTAAAAAAAATTTGACCCTCCAACGGTAATATCCGACCCATTTCGTATTTGAAGATCAATCTTCACTTTTAAAGAACTTAATTTCCTCTTCTCCCTCACCAACCCAATCATCCAAAAATGGTGACCTAATTCATAATTTTTTTCTTGATTTTTCTCAAATCTTAGCTCTTCAAACCTAAAAGTTGAATCTTTGAAGGAATAATTGTTCTTCAAAATATAAGATTCAAATCTATTTTCTTTATCTATTAATTTGATTCTTGTTTCCTCCCCTTTTCTTATTATCTGTTTTTTTTCGAATTCTCGTTACTTCTTGCACAAAATTATAGCACACAATGCAATCAATTAATTTGACAAATCTTTTTATGGAAGAAGATGATTATACTATGAAGAAAAAAGTTTATTATAATCATTGACTTGTGATGCGTTTGAAAACATCCTGGACTTCAAATAACCCTAGAAAAAGATATTGATCATGCTTTTATTATGGGGTAAAGATCATTTTTGTTTAATTTTTTTAGCCGATTAAAAATTTGATTAACCACTAATTCCTTCATCCATTTTCATTATTGAAGCGTCCTAGATCTTTCAATTTTTGGTGTTGGAAGGATACAGAAAATATTGATCCGAGGTCAAAATTTATGATTCCTAAACTAATACAGAAATTGAGTGAGCTTGAGAATATAGTAAAATCTTCTTAAACTTAGTCACTGCATTTGAATTGTTTGATATTATTCAAAAAGTTGACAAGTCGAGAAATTTCAAACAAGATGATGATTGTCTAGGTATGAAAATGAAAATATTGCGAGAAGAGGTTGAGAAGATAAAAGTAATGTAGAATAAATGGAGAAGGACGTGGTAGAATGTGCTCTTTTTTTTTATTGTGACTTGTTGTTTGTTTGTGGTTATAGCTATAACTATTGATTCTGGGTGATATATAAGAAGAAAGGTTCAATGAACTTACCTTAAACTTTTGATGTAGTGAGATCAATGTTGGTGTAGTGTAGCACTATTTATGTAGTAATCAATTAGGTGCAAGACTCTTTTGTAATAAATTGTGCGTTCTTCTTATTATGTTAATGTAATTTGCTGATTTGTGTATTTTTTGTGTGTTTTATTTTCAACTGCATTCACATTATTGCAGTCATAACTGCATAATTATACACATAAAAGTAATGCAAAACTGGTTGCACAATTGTTTCAAAAAGAGACAATTAAAATATCAAACTAATGCAATCACAACTACATAATCATTTCAAACATATATCAAACTAATGCAGTCACAACTGCATAATTGTATAATTGTTTCTAAAACAAACATATATCAATGCAGTCACATCTGCAACATAATTGTTTCAAAAACAAACATATCAAACTAATGCAGTCACAGATGCATAATTGTTCCAAAAACAAGTAAAATAGCAAACTAAAACAATCTCCATATCAAACTTCATCATTATTAAACCTTATTCTCCTTCTTTTGTTTTTCTCATCTCTTGAAGACCTTGTTGAGTTACAACAATCTTTTCTTTTCATTTTAAGCGTGATCTTGATTATGATGCCTAAGATGTCCAGTCACTATTGAAGAGTTCATAGGCATTTCGGGCTAGATTCACAAAAATATGTTGTTTTAGATACTTTATAAGTTAAAATTGAAAAGTGTGCAAATAATTAAGACAACTTACATTGTGGATTTTAAAATTATTTTGTATATGTAGTATCGCTATTCCAACTATTCTTGGCCTCTTCCCTCCTCCAGTAGCACCATCAACATCAGTAATAATAGCAGTAGCAGCTACTACAGTTCCTCTACCTATTCCCCTTTTAGATACACTAGTTGCAGTTTCTCTTTCCCTTCCAACTAAATCAGCTCTAGTTCCTCTTCCCCTTCTAGTGGGACCCGAACCATCAAAAGCAACAGTAGTTCTTATTCCGTTACCAATTTCAGTTTCTCTTTCGATCCCTTCCAGTTCCAACTAAACTAGTTCCAATTTTACTTCCCTTTCTAGAAGCACTAGCCTATAACATAAGTTGATAAGCAAAAATATTGGACTGATTACGATGTAAATAACAACTAGATGAATTACTATAAACATTACCTGTTTTGTAGAACTTCTTAGTCGACCTCTTCCTCTCTTTGTGCTTGATTGTGATTTAGTTGATGCTGTAGAAGAATCAACAATTGACCTTGTTGAACTAATCTTTGTTCCTCTCCATTTTCTCTTCCTCTGCCTGCATTAGCTTGATTATTCAGTTGATAGCCCCTCTTATTATGACCCTTTGCATGACAAAGACTGCAGGTCATCTCAACACTTTTATTAGACAATTTTTCTATTTTGTTTTCAATCTTCTCATTTCTTATACAGTTTCTAGGCCTTCATGGTAGTGTGTTTATAATATGTGGTATAACAAAAGGGTTGGTCGACTGTGGCCACATTTCCATGTTAATAAATAGTTGAATGTAGTGATAATAGACCTTGAGATAAGTCTCATTTCTATACCAATATGCAACCTAGTTAATGGTCTCGAACTTTTTAAAAATGAAGTGCAGTTATAGCATGGCAACAAGGTATACCCCTTAGCATCCAAGAACTACAAATACATGTTTGATTGCCTAGATTCACAACAAATGTGTTATCCCAACTGTCTTCAACCTCATGCCATTTAAGATTACACTTCATTAACTTTTTTGTGTTCTCTGTGAATACCATTAGGGCCATTAGAGATATGTATGTTATCAGAGTACCAGAGAACTTCCTTAATTGTCCTATTCTTCTCATCACTTTGACCCTTATTTCTTCAAGCATTGTGATGATAATTTTGTGTCTTGGTCCTAAAATTCATGAATTAAAGCTTTCAACCATGTTGTTGTTAACACTATTACAACAACTAAAAAACTTAAAATATAATTTAGACCACCTCTCTATTGTAGTGCAATAAGTCATCACATATTCTAGTGCCTAACTTCTCCATATGTTTCAATTTTCTTGTCAATTCTTGTTCATATGTAGATTTGACACGTCTCCAAAAATAATTTCTTCTTTCAAACCTTTTCAATTGATAGACCAGTTGGCTAGAACATGTCTTGTACATTGTTTTGCATTTTGTAGAAGCTCTTGAATAGCTTTGTCAATATCCTTTAACAACATTTTAGAATAACATGATATCTAACTTAATGAATAAATGAAAAATAAAATAAATAAATAAATAAATGAAAAGGAAAATAAATGAATAAATGAAAATGAAAATAAAAATACCTTCTACATATCAATAATGATTGTCAATTCTGTCCCATCTCCTAACTCAAGATCATGCCTTACAAGCTTGATAAATCATTTCCAAGTGAATGTGCTTTCAACCTCAACAACTGTCCATACTAGTAGCAACATTTGCTTTGTTCCCAACCTTATAAACAACCACAAATAATTGAACTCTAAAAACACATTTCAAGAAGCAACCATCAAATCCTCTACATCTCCTAACTCCAGCTTTGAATGCTTTCTTTAAAGCATCAAAGCATATGTAAAATGATTGAAACATTTTTTTGTTACCTTCAAAATTTTCTTCACTAAGTCCCACCACACATGTGTTGCTTGGTTTAGTCCTTAAGACCTAATCTCTATAATCTAAAATTCTTTTAAATTTATCCACATGATCACCCATAATTTGTTGCAACACAATATTTCTAGCTTTCCTTGCTACAGTCCTCCTCACATACACATTTAACTCTTTTTTCACTAAAATTTGAAAATGAAAAACTCTAACGTCAGGCTCAAAAATAATTTTGTCTTCATACCTTCTTGATAAGTACTTTGAATTCATCAATTTATTTCTGATTATGTCATTGAATTTGTGTACATGATTATATTTCTTCACCACAAAATCTCCTATTCTTGAAGCAATACTTCCAAACAACAACCATGGACAATCACCTGTACATTTTACCCTCACCCTAGTTGCTTTATTAATATATTTATTTAATTCAACATGTTCTTGAACTGCATATCTAGTAATAACTTCTCTAAGCTACTTAACAATTTCAAAAGCAAGACCAGTCTCCCAAACTATTAATTGACAGGTAGGATAAAAAAAACTTTCTTTTTATTTCTTTTTGCTCTTCTGCTTTTCTTTGTCCTTTTATAGGTAGTTCAACATCATCTTTCTCATTAACTTCTTCATCAGTATCTATTTCAAAACTAACAGCTTCATCTAAATCAAAGTAAGACTCATCTCCGCTATCTTACCCTCTAAAGTAATTTATTTTTTGGGTAAATATTCATCATACTCCAAATCAACTTCTTTTTTCCCTAAATCAACTCCTTCGGATCTAGGGCTCTTTTATTTTAGCAGCCCTTTTCTCTTTCATAAGATTTATAACCTCCTCATGAACATTATTACCGTACTCATCTTCTTTTTTATCAAACAAATCTGCTTTGTCTGAATCATCACTTGCTTCTGTTTCACTTTCCCAATCAGATCCAACTTCTGGAATATCATATGCAACAATGGCAGAAGAAGTACCTCTCAAGTGCTCTCCAACACTAACAGAAGTCCTATTCAAGTCCTCTCCAACACTAGCAAAAGCCCTACCCAATAGTTAACCCAACTCTTCACCCACAATAGGTTCTTCTGGTTGTGCAACCTCTTCAAACCCTAAACGTTCCCTACCCTTAAAAGTTTGACTAGATTTCTTATAAAAAGTAGCATTAGATTCTCCACCCACATCATTTAGATATTCAATTTTAGGTGGAACCACAACAACTTTTTCAACTAAATGAGTCACATAAAGTTCAACAATATCTCCATTTTTTAATTGAGGTACAATACCCATACTATCCTTATAACTTTTAACTTCAACAACATGTCGTCATATAGGTGGTTTAATATAAACAACACAAGCAACACAATTATACCCAATTTCTTTAGCTATATCAACAAATTCGAAGTAGGACAATTTATCATCATCTACATCAAAATAATCAATGACAATACCTCCTTCATACTTAATACGAGGTTTTAGTTGTAGTTTTCCACCATGGTGAAACCTTAAGGTAACATACACATCCATCATCAAACTGAAAAGATAAAAAAAACTAAGATTTACGAAAATCCTAAAATCGATCAAATGCTACAATAATCTAAATGAAGATTATTAACCTGGTAACTTTGTTTCTTCACACAATTCTTTGTTTCTTTCACGAAAATCTTAAACTCCGGAAATCCTTCACGCTAACAAAGAGAAATCATCAGATCTTATGTCTTGCAGATTTAAGATAAGAGAAAAGAATGAGAATCGAGCTTAGTGATTTAGGGATATTTGTTAATAAGTGGGTCGCATTGTATTTTGGGTATGGGTGTGTTTTAAAAATGGATAAGACATTCTTTAAACCCTTAGTAACACGGATCATTGAAATCGTGCGTGCGTAACAATCCCCGGCCTTCAACTGGGCTGGTGTTGGGAGGGTTGAAAATAATTCACATCAAACATGTTAAGGGGTATATAAACACCCTGTAGTTTAAGTACTAAAGCAAGTTTTCGTGCCAAGTTCAGAATTTTTTTATGTATCATCCCTTTTTCTATTGACTGTAATATTTACTAAAATTACATTTATTTTGATTCAATACTATGCATACATAAATAAATTATTTCTTCATGTATCAAATCCATTTTTTTGGTGTGATTCTTCTATTTAAGGTATGTTTAAATTTTAAATTTAATTATTTTACTTTGCCATAATAATTACGAGTTGTTATTATACTATATCATACTATTAGTTTTTTTAAAATAAATAATTGTAATTTTTAATATTTTTGAGAAAATTTTATTTAAAAATAAGTGTCTAATTAAAATTCACGTTTGACAAACTACTCTTTACACGACAAGTCACTAACAATTACACTACTTACAAGTCACTTATATTGTCTCGTAACATATCATTCATTATTAAAATTATGAGTTCTAAGTTATTAAACGCGGTAGGTCTTTCAATACCTTTTCTAATGCACCCTCATATACATCATACCTTATTTATATAGTCTCTCAATTGCTTAAAATTACCCCCAACAAATTTTTATTCCTCTTTTAGTACTTCAAATTTCAACTTTCTTCATTTATCAAATTCATCTTTTTCTGTGTGATTCTTCTATTTGAGGTATGATTTAAATTTTTAAATTTAATTATTTTACTTTACTATTCATAAATTAATTACTAATTGTTATAATACTATATAATATATTAGTTTTTTAAAAAATAATTATCTTATTTTTTCATAGATTTTTGTGAATCTTATTTGAAAATAAGTGTGTGCTAAAATTTCACGTGTGACAAGCTAATAATTACACTATTTACAAATCACTAACACGATCACATGACTTATCAGTCACTGTCACATTTACGATTTCAAATTACTAATTATTGCACTTCTTTCAGTACATTTTTCTACTACATGCTAATATACCATATACTATTTATACAACTTCTTTATTGTATAAAATTATTCTAACATCAACTTTCTTTCGACTATCAAATATCAAATTCATCTTTTATATGTGATTCTTTTATTTAAGGCATGATTTGAATTTTAAATTTAATTATTTTAATTTACTATTCACAAATTAGTTACTATTATCATTATACTATATTATATTATTAGGTTTCAAAAATTAATTGTAATTTTTCATAGATTTTCGTAAAAGTTTTATTTGAAAACAAGTGTCAGGTGAAAAAATCACATGTGCTAATAATCACGATGTTTGTAAATCACTGGCACTATCATAAGACTTATCAGTCAGTCACTGGATCTGTCATAATTACGATTTTAAAGTTATTAAATATTGCGTGGCTCTCAATTCAATTTCAACTTCACACAAATATATCATACCGCATTTATACAACCTCTTTATTGTATAAAATCACCTTAACAACTTTTTAGTACTTCAAATATCAACTTTCTTCCACCATTAAAATTCATCTTCTTTTGTGTGATTCTTTCTATTTAAGGTGTAGTTGAAATTTTAAATTTAATTATTTTACTTTATTCACGAACTAGCTAATAGTATTATTATATTATATTATATTATTCATTTTTTTAAAAAAAATAATTAGTATATTTTTTTTTCCGTAGATTTTCATGAAAATTCTATATGAAAAAAGTGTTTTGTGAAAATTCATGTGTGACAAGGTACTCGCTACACAACAAGTTATTAACAATCACACTATTTACAATTCACTGACATTGTCACACGACTTATCACTCACTACCATAAATCATAATTATCATTTTCAAAGTTATTGACTGTTGCATGTTTTCCAAATACATTTTCTACTGTACGCAAATTATATATCATGCCCTATTTATACAATCTCTCAATTGTTTAAATTACCCTAACAATTTTTATTCCCTTTTCAGTACTTTAAATATCAACTTTTTCATCTATTAAATTCATCTTTTGTGTGATTCTTTTAAATTATGGTATATTTCAAATTTCAAATATAAATATTTTACTTTACTCTTCATAAATTAGTTAATAATTGTTATTATATTCATAGTTTTTCAAAACAATAATAATTTTTTTCATAATTTTTTTGTAAAATTTTTATATGAAAGCAAATATTTGGTGAAAATTCACGTGTGACAAGCTACTCGTTACACGACTAATCACAAACACTCATGCTATTTATAAATCACCAATAACGTCACGTGACTTATCAATCATTTTCGCAGTTATATTTTTAAAATTATTGACTGTTGCATGTCTTTTGATACATTTCGACTGCACACTAATATATTATATCCTTTTTATACGACCTTTATGAAATCACATCATAAAAAAAAATTGAATAAAAAAACTCGATACACTCGAGAGAAAAATCCGACCACCAACACTAGCCTTTAAAAACTCGGTACACTCGAGAAAAAAAATCAACAACCAACCCCTAACCTTTATGATATCACATCAAAAAGAAAAAACTGGATAAAAAACTCGATACACTCAAAAAAAAAAATTAATCATTAATACTAGCCTTCAAAAACTCGATATACTCAAAATAACAAATCAACAATCAACCCCTAGCCTTTTAAAAATCACATCATAAAAAATTAATAGGATCAAAAAATTTAATATACTCGAGAAAAAAAACCAACCACCAACATTAGCGTTTTCACGAAATCACGATTCACGAGTCGGGCAACAAGCTCTTAGCCGCCAGTTGTATAATTGGCGTATGGCTCGACTCTGTTTCTTCTTTACTTCCAAACTTTCTGGCAAATACACACAAAATCCCCAAATGAAAAAAATTGGAAAAAAAGAAAACAAAATCAAATCTAAACTCTTCATTTTCTTTTAATAAATTTAACTCTTCTACTTTCTCTCTCTTCTTCATCAATGGCGTACCTGAAAAACCCCACTATTCCTTAGCCGCCGCTTCTAATTTTTCTTCGAATAAACCGCACCTTAAAGCTTTTTGTACCTTGTTCAACAGGTATGTTTTCCTCTTCTTTACCTCTAAGTATTTGTTTAAACTCTATTTATCTGCGTTGAATTTTGAACTTTCAGTTGTTTGTAGGTAGCTTTTTTTAAATTTTTTTATTTAATTGTGTTTTATTGTGAAATGAATTCGAATTTGAGGTGATTTAGTTTTAATTCTGTGAGTTTAAGTGGTGGAATGAGAATTAAATTCTGAAAATTGGGTGTTTCGTTTTGTTGAACGATCATTAGAGGTTAAAGTTGGGATTAAGTGTAGGTCAAAGCTGAAATTTGTATTTGAGTTTGAGTTTTCACTTTAATTTGAGTTTTTGATACTTAGACTTCATTTTTGCTGATCTTATGGTGGATTAAAATTAGTTTCGTTTTGTTTTGGTTTTTGTTGATTTTCTGAGTTCGTTTGTTTTGATTCCGTAGGATAAAGGAGCTGCAAGTTCATTGTTAACTAAGGAAATAGTGATGAATTAGTGTTCTTTTCTGTTGTGTAGACAGTTGAATGATTGATAACTTTGCGTCTTGGTTTTGACGGGAGACGTTGGATGCTGTTCTGAGATTTGGGTGAGTGAAGATTGATTGTTCTTGGAGTGCTATTGTTGCTAATGGCAGAAGACGGCCTACGTATAGGGATAGGTGGCCTTTCTTCTGGGTTGGCTGTGGTATTGAATGGTGAAGATAGGAAGGAGAGTTCTCAGAAAACTCATCTTGTTTCATATTGTGATGGTTTTGGCGATCAATCTGTGGAAAGAACCCTTGAGCACATCTTTGATCTTCCATACAAGTGTATTAAGTCACTCTCTTGTTCAATAAATACTGAAGTGGTTCGCTTAGTTATAAAGAACGAATTTCTGAAGTACCACATAAATCAGAAGACTGTTACAGACAGAAAACGAGAAGGGGTTTTGACTGCTGGTGGTGATGGTTGTAAACATCAGTTTATTCAATTAGAGGAATCAAGCATCTGTGGTGATATTCGAATAGTCAAACAGCCTTTGATCATGGAGAGTCATTCTCTATTCAGCAGTGCTAGGGCCAATGCTTGTGTCTGGAAAGGGAAATGGATGTATGAAGTAACTCTTGAAACTTCTGGTATACAACAGCTAGGCTGGGCGACTCTTTCCTGCCCATTCACTGATCACAAGGGTGTGGGTGATGCTGATGATTCATATGCATACGATGGAAAAAGGGTCAGTAAATGGAATAAGGAAGCTCAGGATTATGGTCAGCCATGGGTTGTTGGTGATGTGATTGGATGTTGTATAGATTTGGATGGTGATGAGATATCATTTTATCGAAATGGAGTTTCACTTGGTGTAGCATTTATTGGTATTCGTAAGATGGTACCTGGATTGGGATATTATCCAGCAATTTCTCTTTCTCAAGGTGAACGTTGTGAGTTAAACTTTGGGGAAATCCCTTTCAGGTACCCAGTAAAAGGTTTCCTTCCCATTCAGCCTCCACCAACCAGAAGTTCAATTGCTACTGATCTGCTTAATTGTTTTAGAAGGCTAATTGAAATGCAGCGTGTGGGAAGGGCAGAGTTCAGTTCTGTTGAGAAATTGCGAAGATTGAAAAGGTTTGTATCATTTGAAAAACTTTCGCACCCTGTCTCTCGTGGGATATGTGAGGAATTATTCTCTACACTTGCTGCTGAAGACGGAAGCACAAAGTATATATCTTGTGGTCCACTTCTATCACTGATAATGGAGGTCTTTAGGATGCATCCTCCACATGACTATATGAGTTTGGACAGCATACTTGATTCTCTTCTAGAGTTTCCAGAGTCGAGAATTTTGTTTGAACATATCATAAGTTCGCTGTCGACTTTATGCAAAACAGCGCCATTGAGCCTTACAGAAAACTGTCCTTACTCAGGTTCATATATATATTTGGCCTTGGCATGCCACATCTTAAGGCGGGAAGAAGTAATGACACTGTGGTGGAGATCTTCAGATTTTGACCTCTTATTTGAAGGGTTTTTGTCGCGGAAGAGTCCTAACAAGCAGGATCTTCAAGGTCTGATGCCTTCTATATGGTGGTCTGGTTCGTGTGAGGATGTGTCAA